AGGATCCGCTTGAACCCGGGGTGGGGGAAGCGGGGCGGGCGGAGGTTGCAGTGAGCCGATATCGTGCCACTGCATTCCAGCCTGGGCGACAGAGTGAGACTCTGTCTCAAAAAATACAAATACAATTATGAAAAAACTAGCCAGGCTTGGTGGGCCTGTGGTCCCATCTACTCAGGAGGCCGAGGCAGGAGAACAGTTTGAACCGGGAAGAGGGAAGTTGCAGTCAGCCAAGATCGCTCAGCTGCACTCCAGCCTGGGCGAGAGCGCCATACTCCAGGACCCCTCATCCGCCTCCGCCCCGTGTCTCCTCCCCTCATCTCCCAGGGGTCCTCTTTTGAGGGCACCCCCGCACCTCGACGGTCCAGGGAAGTCCCGCACGCCTGCCAGGCTGCAGCGAAGCGCCGAGGCGCGCGGGGTCCAAGGCTGGTGGTCCCTGTGGCGCGGTGCACACGCAGGGTCCGGGGTCCACCCCTCCACCGCTCCGGCGTCTGCTGGGGAAGTCAGTCCGCCTGGTCAGCCCAGAAACCCCGAATCCGGGGGCTGGAGCTCGGGAGCAGGCACAAGCGCCACTCTCCGCCTGCGCCGTGGAACGCGCGTCAGGACCACTCGGCAGCCCTTCCCCCAGCGCCGCCGGCCGCTGCTGGGGACAACCTCACGCTCCGGTCTCTTGCTCCTCCTCCTGACCCCAGCGCACCCCCATCCCCGCCCCAGATGCAGCGAGGCTCCCTCCGCCTTCAGCCCGGCAGAGTCGCACTAGGAGTTGCAGCGGCCGCAGCCCCGGGACCTTCCCGCTCACGGAGACCCAGACGGCTGCAGGAGCCCAGGCAGCCTCGGGGTCGACGGCACCATGAACGTCTCGGGCTGCCCAGGAGCCGGGAACGCGAGCCAGGTGGGCGGCGGGGGCGGCTGGCACCCCGAGGCGGTCATCGTGCCCCTGCTCTTCGCGCTCATCTTCCTCGTGGGCACCGTGGGCAACACGCTGGTGCTGGCGGTGCTGCTGCGCGGCGGCCAGGCGGTCAGCACCACCAACCTGTTCATTCTCAACCTGGGCGTGGCCGACCTGTGTTTCATCCTGTGCTGCGTGCCCTTCCAGGCCACCATCTACACGCTGGACGGCTGGGTGTTCGGCTCGCTGCTGTGCAAGGCTGTGCACTTCCTCATCTTCCTCACCATGCACGCCAGCAGCTTCACGCTGGCCGCTGTCTCGCTGGACAGGTGAGCCAGCGCCCTGGCCTCCCTGGGAGATGGGCATCCACTCGGGGGATGGAGCGGGAGGCGGGATCGGGGAATCAAGAAGGGATGCGCAGAGTGGGAGAGGACTTTAAGAAGGCAGTGGAAGACAAGCGGGCGCGGAGGAGGAGAAAGAGGAAATAGAATGGGGGACCATGGTGTCCCCTCGGTTAGGTTCGTCCTGGGGCCTGGAAGCCTGGAGAATGTGGCTCTCCAGCTCCGCCCTCGCCTGACAACGCGCAGCATTTCCCGGTACGACGCGTTTGTGAGCGTTCGTCTAGCTTGAGCTTAATGCCCCCGTGAGGGTGGGATAGGACAAAATGCCCAATGTACAGAAGAGTTGAGTTCCTAAGTAACTCGCTCAGAGTCGCCAGCCAGGGATCCGGTGCATAAAGTGACTGTCTCCTGCAGCCAACTTCAGTCACCCCACTGCACTCGCCTCCAAGCCACAGTTTGGTTGGTTGGTTGGTGTGGTCGGCTCAGGTCCAGGCTGTGGATCTTGGGTCCTTTGCGAGGACCCCCGCCGAAGTCTGAGCAAGCGTGTCTAAAGGTCCCTAGCTCAGTCCCAGCTACTCTGCCCCTCGCCTCCAAACAAAACAAAACAAAACAAAACCAAAAACAAGTCAGGGGTGGGGAGAGGAGCGTGCCCTGGGGTTCTCCAGCCAGAGGAGAGCGAGAGAGGCACAGTCGGGAGAGCGCGGGACTCAGGTGAAGCTTGAAATGACACTAGGATGGTTCCTGGGGAGGAAATCTGCGTATCTTCCCCTCTCCCTTCTCCGGAAAAACGGAGGTGAGGCCAGACTCCCCCCACACCTCCTGTAGCCACTGAGCGGGAAGTGCGTTGGTTCCCAGCGCGCTGGTGGGATCCACAAAGCTCGGATTCTCTCAGGAATCGCATGAGAAACTGACTGTCCCTTGCCCAACATGTCTTCTCCAGGCTGTCTGCTATAGCCTCAGGCGCCTCCCCACTCCCTCCCGCGGCACCGTCACTAGTGGGTAGTCACAGCCTCCCGGAGCCCATAGCCGGTTCTCCAACCTTTAGTCTTCGGTGACTTTGGGATGCCCTCTCAGTGGAGTCCGTCCGTGGTTGCAGTCCCCGGGGGCAGCGGGAGAATGGCTTGGAGGCGCACCTTTCCCGCTGCCGGGCCCGCCGCATTTCCAGGCTCCGCTCAGTGTCTGGGACGCGCTGGGACGCCCCCACCTACACCCTCACCCCCACCTCCGGTGTGTGCGGTGTAACCATGCGTTAAGGACCTTCCTCGAGAGTGACCGTGGGGCCCGAGGTGCAGGGGTCGCGACCTGCCAGCGCTCAGCCGACGTCTCCCTTCCCGGCTTGACCGCAGGTATCTGGCCATCCGCTACCCGCTGCACTCCCGCGAACTGCGCACGCCTCGAAACGCGCTGGCAGCGATCGCGCTCATCTGGGGGCTGTCGCTGCTCTTCTCTGGGCCCTACCTGAGTTACTACCGCCAGTCGCAGCTGGCCAACCTGACCGTGTGCCATCCCGCGTGGAGCGCCCCTCGCCGCCGCGCCATGGACCTCTGCACCTTCGTCTTCAGCTACCTGCTTCCGGTGCTGGTTCTCAGCCTGACCTACGCGCGCACCCTGCGCTACCTCTGGCGTGCCGTCGACCCGGTGGCCGCGGGCTCGGGTGCCCGGCGCGCCAAACGCAAGGTGACACGCATGATCCTTATCGTGGCCGCGCTCTTCTGCCTCTGCTGGATGCCCCACCACGCGCTCATCCTCTGCGTGTGGTTCGGCCATTTCCCGCTCACGCGCGCTACTTACGCGCTTCGCATCCTCTCGCACCTGGTCTCCTACGCCAACTCCTGCGTGAACCCCATCGTTTACGCGCTGGTCTCCAAACACTTCCGCAAAGGCTTCCGCAAGATCTGCGCGGGCCTGCTGGGCCGTGCCCCACGCCGAGCCTCGGGCCGCGTGTGCGCTGCCGCGCCGGGCACCCACAGTGGCAGCGTGCTGGAGCGCGAGTCCACCGACCTGTCGCACGTGAGCGAGGCGGCAGAGGCCCTTCATCCCTGCCCCGGCGCTTCCCAGCCGTGCACCCTCGAGCCTGGTCCCGGCCCGTCTTGGCGGGGCCCAAAGGCAGGCAACAGCATCCTGACAGTTGATGTGACCTGAAAACACTTAGCGGGCACGCTTGGATGTTACAGAGTTGGAGTCATTGTTGGGGGACTGTGGGGAGAGCTTTGCCTGTTAATAAAACGCACAAACCATTTCACATGCAGCGACAGCGCTGTTTCACGTTTCTCATTGTCTTGAGACTCTGTGGGAAGCCTCTGGGGCTTCACACAGGGGCTCCCTAGGGGTGAGTGCAGGACCCTTTGCAGAGCTACCAGGAAAGAGGGCTGACCACACCTAAGGCAGCCGGGTTACAATCCGCATAAAAATCTGAGCCTGGGGAGCGTGCGACAGAGGCAGGCAGACTGTTTTAGGCGTTCAATAAAGTCGGTCGATGACAGACACAGATGTGTGTTCCCAGTCGCATTTGTGCTCTGGTGTGTAACAGATCTGTCCTCGCCTGCTTCCAGCTCCCAGGGCCCCTTTGAGTCTGGACAGCCCAGTCAGTCCCCTCCATTTTTGGCCTTAGCTTTTCCTTCCCTCGCTGCAGCTGGGCCAGGATCAAGTCTCCAGGGGCTGTTTCACTCCAGATAGAACTCCCTTCCCAGAGGCTTTTTTTTTGGTTTCTGTGTTGTTGTTGTTTGTTTTCTGAGATGGAGTTTTGCTCTTGTTGCCCAGGCTGGAGTGCAATGGTGCAATCTTGGCTCACTGCGACCTCTGCCTCCCAGGTTCAAGTGATTCTCCTGCCTCAGTCTCCCAAGTAGCTGGGCTTACCACCATGGATACTAATACAGCTAATTTCTGTATTTTTAGTAGAGACAGGGTTTTACCATATTGGCCAGGCTGGTCTCAAACTCCTGACCTCAGCCTCCTTCAAAGTGCTGGGATTACTGGGATTACCAGAATTCTTTTGTTCTTTTTTTTTTCTTTGGTGTGTGTGTGGTGGGGGGAGGGAAGGCAGAGTCTGGCTCTGTAGCTCAGACTGAAGTGCAGTGTTGTGATCTTGGCTCACTGCAACCTCCACTTCCTGGGCTCAAGTGATCCAGCTTCAGCCTCCCGAGTAGTTGGGACTACAGGTGCATGCCACCATGTCCAGCTAATTTTTGTGTTTTTGATAGAGACAGAGTCTCCCTATGTTACTCTGGTCTCAAACCCCTGGGCTCAAGCAATCTGCCCTCCTTGGTCTCCCAAAGTGCTGAGATTACAGGCATGAGCCACCATGTCCAGGGTTCTTGAGCCAAGGCTCTTTACACAAAATCACTTCAGTGTTTAAGGAGAGCAGGGAGACTCTCAAGGCTGTCCCCATCTCACATCATTGAGCACAGAACACTCACCAAGGGTTTGGGTCTTAGGTAGGTTGGTGTCAGCCACTGAAATGCAGGGGACACCCGTGGGCCCTGATTGGAAGGACAAAATCGGGGAGAGATAGAGGTCTTACACCTGCCAGGTCCCCCTGGGCAGGCATTGAGCGTCGCAACGGGTTCCAGGTGGTGGAAATGGAGCGGGACAGGGACACCAAGGCAGCTGCAGTGTGGGCGGGGCTGGGTCCTAGGCTTTATCTTTGGGTGTTTGCGGAACTGGGGCAGGGGCTGCCAAGTCCATGGCTCTAGGGTCCTTGCCCAGAGCAGCTGCCTCTGACCAATTGCTCAGCTGCCGGAGAAGTGACTAGAACAGAGGTTGTAGCTTAGGCACTGTTGCTCCTTCCAGTCCCTCCGTGCAGTTGATGATGGCCCTGTGGCCCCTGCTCCATTTCACCTTCCTGGGGTTTAGCATCACCTGGCCCTTGGTCCATGGGCAGGGCTTCCAAGAGACAGCAGCCGGTAGGTGGAGGGCAAGGTCATAAGTTTTGCGATGGGCCCTAGGGCACCTGAGTGACCTTGACCTTTATCGCTCAGTCTGGCCATCCCTCTTCAACGTCAGCTTGCCCCAGAAGGCTCAGGAAAGCATCCAGATTCCAAACAATGGGAGTGCACCCCTGCTTGTGGATGTGCAGGTGTTTGTCTCCAATGTGTTTAATGTGGTAAGTGCCGCTAGGCCAAGGGCCCTAAGTGCTGGGCTGGGCAGGAGACAGGACTCAGCCCTGGATAGTGCTGGGGTCTCCTGCCGTGTTCGTGTTCTGCCAACACAGCGCTCACCCTGAGGTGACGCACTGCCCTTCCCTCAGGACATCCTGCAATACACAATGTCCTCCATGCTGCTGCTTAAGCTGGTGAGCTCCTATCCCCGGGGAGGTGGGATGGGAAAGCCCAGCTGAGTCCAGCTCAGAAGTACCAGCCTTCATCAACATGCTGAGCTTGGGGGCATGGATACGTGGAGATCAGGAGCCTCAGTGGTGCCCTTGTGTCCCCAGTCCTGGCTGGACACGCGCCTAGCCTGGAACACTAGTGCACACCCGCGGCACGCTGTCACGCTACCCTGGGATTCTCTCTGGACACCAAGGCTCACCATCCTGGAAGCGTAAGTGAAACAGTTCCTGCCCCAGGAATCTGAGGTGCATAGCCCTCCTTTTCCCCATCTACAACCTAGAGGCTGGGTGAATATGCCCCTCCTGGCAGTCCCTGCCAGACTAGCAGTGCATCTCTACTGCCTCTGTGGTTGGGGGTGGGATGCCAGGGTCTCCCCTGGCCCTGTCCAAGGGGCTGGGGCTCTGGCTGTGGTACCTTTCCCCACAGGCTCTGGGTGGACTGGAGGGACCAGAGCCCACAGGTCCGAGTAGACCAGGACGGCCACGTGAAGCTCAATCTGGCCCTCACCACGGAGACCAACTGCAACTTTGAGCTCCTCCACTTCCCCCGGGACCACAGCAACTGCAGCCTCAGTTTCTATGCTCTTAGCAACACAGGTGCTGACAGGGCAGGGGCTGCAGGGTTGGGGAGGGGAGGAAGAAGGTGGGGAAAGGGAACTCCTAGGTCTGTGGTGCAGCGCAGAGGGAAGGGGAGAAGGCAGACGGAAAGGGAATGCCCAGGTCTGTGTTCAGAGCAGTCTACCCCAGGTTTAGGTGGGCAGCACCTGCTCTCCCACTGCGCCCCCTACTTGAGGGGCAGCCCCTCTCTGCACTCAGCGGTAGCCTCAGGGCTCCTCTCTAGGGTGACAGACTCAAAGATTGGCAGCAGTTCTGCAATCCTAGAGGTCCGAGCACATCAGTCTTCTGTCCTCCCTGGAGCAACTGCCCTCCACAGCCATGGCCTGACCGCAGTGGCTCAGCCCCTTGCAGCAAGGCCAGAGGCTCAGGATGCTGTGGCCTCACTCCTGGAAACCACCTGAAGGTGCAGCCACCCTGTATAAACCCATTGGGTGACATCTAACTTGGCAAAGAAGTCCTACTCTTCCCTCCGTGAGAGACCACAGCCGTAGCCCTGGGGATCCTGCTTCAGGTGTGAGATGATAGAGTGGCGAACCTGTGACCAGTTCTCCCTCCCCCATGAAGTGGTGCAAAGTACATTTATTTTTACAATGAAAGCTCATCTATGAATCTGATAAAGGCCTTCCTTTAACTGGAGACGATTTGGGATGTTGCAAAACAAGGTTTGGGAAGCCCATCTACGGACTGGTTTTGTCTCCAAGTCTGTCCCTGCCAAAAGCCATCAACAGTCTCCATCACCCCTGGGCTCCAGTCTGCTACCCCCAGACTTGGCAGCTGGGATCTCTCCTTCCTAGTTCATAGTTCTCATTCCCACCCCTCAGCGATGGAGTTACAGTTCCAGACCCACGCGGTGAACGAGATTGTGAGTGTCAAGAGGGAATACGTAGTTTATGATCTGAAGGCCCAAGTCCCACCCCAGCAGCTGGTGCCCTGCTTCCGGGTGAAGGTGAGTCAAGTCGGGAGGAGGCCAACAGAGGCCTGCTGGAGGTGGGTGGGGGTGAGGATGCAGGGCCAGAGGCCAAGCCCCATGCCCCCACTGCCCACCTCCTTCCTCCCACTGGAAGGCCCTGGCTTTTCCCCTTCCAGATGAGCCTGAAGAACACGGCACTCAAGTCCATCATCGCTCTCTTGGTGCCTGCAGAGGCACTGCTGCTGGCTGACGTGTGCGGGGGGCTGCTGCCCCTCCGGGCCATTGAGCGCATAGGCTACAAGGTGACATTGCTGCTGGGCTACCTCGTCTTCCACTCCTCCCTGGTGCAGGCCCTGCCCAGCTCCTCCTCCTGCAACCCACTGCTCAGTAAGCCCTGCTACCTCACCCAGCCTGCCGTTTCTCCCCCGTCACCCACTGCTGCTCAGCTTGCTGAGGGACTGGCCCCTGAGCATCTCCCCGTGCCCTGCCTCCCCCAGTTTACTACTTCACCATCCTGCTGCTGCTGCTCTTCCTCAGCACCATGGAGACTGTGCTGCTGGCCCGGAGCAGCCTTGGGGCCAAAAGCAGCCCCAGCCCAGCCCCAAGAGGGGAACAGCAAGAGCATGGCAACCCAGGGCCTCATCCTGAAGGTGGGCAGGGGCTGGGGCCCCTTTCTGGGGCTGGGGGGTAAGGAATGAGGCCTAGGTGCATACCTAGGGCTGGGGTGACGGCGCGGGGGGTTCAGGCGTGCATAGAAGCTCCTTGCATCTACCCTGCTGGCTCTCCTATCCCTGGTCTCCACCATGTCCTCCTCCCTTAGAAGAAACAGGTCTGGGGCAGGGAGCAAGCTTAGCCTCCCTGACGTCCCAGGTGACCTCAATCCCCTGATAACCCACACCTTGCACAGCCTAAGAGGGTGTTTCTTTAACTGAAGATGGCCTGAAATGGGCCAGACCCCAATTTTCATCAGCTGAGAATCTAAGAAAGGGAGAGATACAAGCTGATGACCCCTGTGGTTCACTCTTTTGCTCACGTTGGGGGGACCTTGAAGAACAGCTCCTTTCCCTGTATGTCTCCCCACAGAGTCCCCCAGAGGAGTAAAGGGGTCACAGAGAAGCTGGCCTGAGACTGCTGACCGCATCTTCTTCCTCGTGTATGTGGTTGGGGTGCTATGCAGCCAATTCATCTTCGCTGGAATCTGGATGTGGGCAGCGTGCAAGTCTGGCCCAGCCCCTGGAGAGGCTGCACCCCATGGCAGGCGGCCTAGACCGTAACGGGGCAGGGCCTGGGCTGCACACCTGAGGATGAAGTTTGCTTTCCCATGGCTGGGGGAGGGCCATGGCAGGGTCTCTGGATGAAGCCAGGCTGAGCTCCCCCTCTGTAAGCACACAAGCAGAGTGTGAAATAAACCCATCTCCAGTGCAAGTGTGCCTCAAGGGTCAGTCTTCATTCTCGTCCTAAATAGGCGGGGTCCTATTTTTTGCTTCCAACTCTCACTTTGCTCCTGAACTTTTCCCCATTGTCCCTGTCTCCCAGCCCATAGGCAGGCAGCCTAACTGCTCCTTTGGCAACGACGACTGCTTGGCTCTGGGCCGGGAGGCACTGAGGCTGGGGACCAGAGACAGGCGCTTGAGGAAGGCTGCAGAGGGTGGGATGGAACTCCTCCTCCGAACGCCTCCTGCAGTGTGCTGGACTCTAGGGAAATGGCCAGTGAGTCTGCCTCCTCCAGCCACCTAGGGAACTCCTAGGAGGGAAAGGTCCCAGACCTCAGGCCTGTGGGCGAGCGGGAATGTGTTTTAAGAGAGGGCGTCAATGCTGACTGCCTTTCCTCCAGGTGCTCTAGCTGCTTCTCTAGCTGCTTCTCTGAGCCCTACCACATCTCTGGGCTGTAGGGGAGTTCTCTGTCCTCCGCTCTGACCTAGGCTGGAGGTAGGGCCATTCTGCCCTGCTGCTCTTGGTACACATGGGACAGCAGTGGGCACAGGCCTCTGTCTTCCTTCTCTCCTTTCCTGTTTCAGAAGCCATCTGGGTCATAAAAGCCAAGGTGTGAAGGGACCCCAGGCTTCCCAGAGAGTGCTGGTTCGGCTGGGAACACGGGCTGTGGGGAGAAAGTGGAAACCAGGACTAGAGGGCTCAGGGACACGGCTCCTGGATGGGGTGGTGGAGACAGGTCTCTGTCCCTAAGGATTTCGAGCTCACCCAGCCCAGAGACAAGTTAACACTGGTTTATCTGTCCAATGACATGCCAGTCTGGTGGAACCAGGCAGGGCTAGCAGAAGGCTCAGGCAGAGGTGTCGAAAAGGCGATCGATCATGTCGCCCACCTGCTCCACGCCGTACTTGATGTACTTCTCTGGGTTCTTGGTGAAGGGTACGCTGCCGAACCTGAAGGGGCACTGTGGTCAGGGGACGGAGGGCCACCCTCCCCAGCTCCACCCTCAGCCTAAGGCACTCCTGACAGTCTCTTGGAAGGGGTGGCCCTGAGTGATTCCCTGTCTGGTCCCGCCCCAAAGCCCAGGGCACTGGATCTGCTGCCTAAACCCCCCACCCTTCTCCTTTTTCCCTTGAGGAAGAGGAGCTTGAAGAGGCCCACTGGGGCTGTGGGCAGCACAGGCTGGGAGAGGGAAATGGAAGGCTCACTTCTGTAGAAAGGCCCCATAGGTCTCCTTGACAATGGTCTTCTGGGCCTGGCGAATCCTGTCCCTCTGCTCTGTGTCTGGAATAGCCCAGGCCTTCTGGATTTTGCACAGTTCTTCGAGGCCATCATTGAAGCCCTGGCCACCAAAAAGGTGAAAAAGGAAGGGACCCAGAGACAAACATTTTGGATGTGTGTTGCCTCAACAGTAGCAGCAAGCAGTGGAGGGGAGAGGACCCCGACTCACCTTAAAACGTTCCTTGATAATCTGCCGCTCCTTGTCCCGGAGCTGGGAAGCCAGGAGAGACGGCAGAGAAAGCTCACTTTACAGCCCAGTGGCCTGCCCCCACTCTTCCCCAAACCCTCTTGGCCTGGGCCTCTCTCCTGTGTCCTGATGGACGCATGCATCCTTTGCTCTCTGATCCCAGAGGGATGCTTGTCCACTTTTTCACCGAGACACGACAAAAAGTATCCCACCTGCTAGACACCCCTTCCCAGCCCAGGCCTTGAGCCCACCTTGACTCCCGGCTGGAACACAGGTAGATTCTTCTCTGCGATGTAATCGGTCACCTTTAACCAACTGCCAGACAGAAAGAGAAGTGTGAGGGCAGGGGGCGGCCTACCTCAGTGGCCTGGCTTGTTTCATTTGCTAAATCTCTGGATCTACTTGGTGGGTGGTAGTAGGAAGGGATATGGGTCACACCTAAGCAAAACAACAGATTTTCTTCCTGGGAATAGAAAATCTTTAAACTGGTCACTTTCTGAGAAAACATAAGGAAACACTTGAGTGTTCAATAAATTGAACAAATACTATCAACTATACTTTACATCAATATCATGGCAAATTAAGATGGAGAAACATGAGAAAGAAAGGAGTGAAGGGCAGAAGAAGGAGAAGGAAGAGGGAGACACATTCAAAGGGAAGAAACAAGGCCAGGAAGAAAGAGGACCAGAGAAGCAGAGGGATCCCCACAGACCAAGGCTCCGCCAAGTTCAAGTGCTCTCGTGACCTTGCTCTTCTCCTGGGGTAAACATTACCCACGTCTCTGACAGTCAGCTCTTCAATCATTCTTAGCCTTGACGCTTGGCAGACTCCCCTCTACAGTGGTGACAGTGGGCCCCTAGGAGCAGGTAGTGGTGGAGGAGGGGGGCTTCTCTCTCCGGCCCGTGAGTTTGATTAGAAACCAAGTGGAGGATTAGGGTCCAGAGGACAGGAGTTCCCCATGACCGACCCTGTGTTCTGAGGTGCTGAGAAGGAAGAGTGCGTGGTGGCACGGGGCGGGGTGAGGGCTAAGACGGCTGGGGGCCTATGCAGGAGCAGGGCAGGCCCAGCCTCTCACCTGCGCTGGTAGGTCTGGATCTGCTGCTCAATGTGCTCCCGGTAGGAGCGCTCGGCAGTCTTCTGTGTCACTGCCACCAGCTGGATCAGTTCAGACCTGGGTGAGGGTAGGGGACAGAGGAGAAGGGGCAGGACTGGCTCCTCACGCCCAAAGACTGCAGCAATGCTGGGAGGGCCTCCCATTGCACCCCAAACTCTACAAGCTCTACAGCAGCAGCACTCCCACCTTCCGGGTCCTGGGATGGAGGAGACTGAAGCACCCCCTCCCCTCTCATCCACAAGAGAAGGAGCCCAGGGGGCAGGGGCTGGCATGGCTGCACAGCCGAGGGGCGCAGACTCGCTCCCTCAGGCCACTTACTTCTCCAGGGACTTGAGGATGTAATTGTAGTTGTTGTGAAGGAAGATGGCGCTCAGAGCTGGGTCCTCGTACACCTTGGACTTGCTCAGCAAGTTCAACTGTAGGTTGCCCAGTACTTTACCTGCACAGGGAAAAATGGGGCCACACCCATCATGGCAGTCTGACCCAAACGACCCCATCCCGGGACCTGCTAACGCACTCCTATCCATCGCTCCTCGTCGCCTCAGGAGGCCTTAGCCCAGCTCCCCTCAGCCTCTGAACTAGAGGTCAGGTTGTGGTTCCAAAGGTCAGATGGCACTTAGGAGAGGGCCCTGGGAATAGCCAGAGAGCACAGACAGAAGGAAGAGAAAGGCAGGGCATGCAGGCGGCAGGGCTGCTGGTCTGCCCGGGAGAACACTCACAGATATAGGTGCTTAGCAGCCGCTTGCTGAACTCGGAGCTGTAGCTGGTGGCCGAAGAGCTGGTCTCTGTGAGAGGAGAAGTCCTGTTATTGCAGTGGCAGCAGCCAAGACCCTCAACGGCCCTTCCCCCATGCCATGCAGCAGTCTGAGGGGACACTGAGGTCCCCGGGCTTCCTCGGGCAGAGCCAGCTACCTGCTAAGCCACAGGGCGGCCCCTGCCACAGGAAGCACCGGCCCTGGATTTTCTGGAACCCAGAGCTGCCCTCTATGATGGGGTGGCATGGCTAAGGAGCTGGTCCATGTCAGCAGAAAAGCTGGCAGGACAAGAGTGAGATGCCAGTGCCCTATCCCCTCCTGCGCCCACCCACCCTGGGTGGTTTCTACAAGGCCCCCTTTTTCTTTTTGCCAACAGCAGAGTCTTAGAAAGGGCTCCTCACAGTCTCTGCACCTTCTCCCCTACATTCAAACATCCCCCTCTACCAGACCCTCCTGAATAGAGGAAGCTGTGGCCTGCAGTGTGGAAGGCCGAGTAGGGACAGCAAGGCAGGGGGGCCGGGTGAGCCTGGGGGGTGTATTCAGGGCTCTGGCCCCGGCAGGTGCTGCGGATAAGCTCAGAGACAGAGTGGCCCTGAAGGGAGCAGAGAGAGTTGAGAGCACCCTGAGAAAACTCATGTCCCCTCTGACTCGGGCTCCCCAGTAGGTCCTGAGAGTCAGTCCCCAGGGAACCTCACCCACCAAGCTTCAGAGGGACAGAAGGGGGCTGCAGAACCGCACTGCTTACCTCGGGGGTCTAAAGGAATATTGTATGTGTCCCCAAGAACTACGGAGTGAAAGGCAGTGCGCACAGAGGGGACGGAAGGAGAGACAAAGGAGGGAGAAAGATGCAAAGTGCAAAAAACAGGTTAGAAATGGCACGTCAACCCGAGTCAAGCAGACCTCTCCCCACGACAGCCAGAACACAGACAGCAAGACACAGCAGGCAGGACCCTCTGAGGACCAGGGAGCGCTCTGTAAGTACAGAGCTGGGAAACTGCAGGCTGGAGGCTGCCCATGGGCTCCCTGCCCCCAAAATGGGACGGAAGGAGAGGGCCCGGGGACCTCAGTGCTTGGAATGAACCAGAAAGGTGCTCTTGCTCACAGGCCGACCCCGAGCTCCAGTCCCAGGGCAGGGCCAGCAGGAAGACACCCAGCTAGCCCTGAAACACTTGCTACCCTCTGAAGGCTAGCTGAGCGAGCCTGATGAGGAGAGCAGGCAGACACAGAGAAGGATTCGGGAGGGGGGCAGGCGCAGAAAGGACACCTTCCAACCAGCCAGCACTGCTCCCAGAGTGAGGACACTGCTTCCAGGGCGACGACGGTCAAAGGGGCTGAGGGAGGGGCCGGAGGTCCAGTGTCTGGTCTTGAAAGGTGCAGGCAAACCTCGCTCTCCTGATGCTCAGCCCCAGGGACCCTCTGCAGGGCACATCTCAACCCCTCCACAGACTGGAGACGCCTCCTCACTGCTCCCTGCCTTCTAACCCCATGTCTCCAGGCAAGAAGGGGAGTGGGGCAGGGGGCCCAGCTGGGAAGTGCCAGT